CTCTTCTGATAATTCTTTTCACTCCTCTGTCACAAATCTTGTGAGGAGCACCTGGTCGTGAGCATTTATGGTTTGATTTCTTTGTATGTATGGATCACTTGGGTTGTTACCAACATCTGGTGAAAATTTCATGTCATTAGCTCCTCTAGTAATATATTTACTGAGAAAAAAGGTGACTTGTTCAATACTTATTTTACCCGCTGTATGTGTCCTTTTTCCTTTGTAATCATGTGAGTGTCTTTATGGGGATTTCATTTGCTTGAATTGTTAGACAAACATGTGGATCTAAAAGCTTAGCTTTTGTCAAGCCACCCTCTTACTCCCAGAGTGTCAATTTGTGGAGTTCTGTCAAAGCTGGTAAAATGCCTTTGATACAATACCAAGTGTCCTTGGTGATGCAGTAGAATCAAATGTTGCTTTAAGAATGAGTCACAACGTACTGCAGAACAAAAGTGGGACAAGTGTCACAGGAATTAGATAGGTTAAACCAGGAGAACAGAAGTTCAAGGCCCATTTGATACAATTTTATTTTCTTAAAACGTAATTCAGATTTTCCCACAGTACAAATAAGGCACGTATACACTCTGGTAGCTTTATTCTTAATTAAATTTACAAAATAAATAAGAAAAAAAATTATATTTTACTAACCACTTAAGGAAACAAAAACATATGCTGGATTGTTTTCACATTGGTTACAAGGCCAAAACAAGCTGAACAAATTAAAAAGAAAAAGATTTATTATGCATTATGCAATCTCAATCTAAAAGTTTAACCTCACTTTGTATCACAGGCAGCATAAAATGTTGTACGTGCACTATTATTGCACAACAATAAAATTTGGATAAAAAAATGAGAACAGCAGGGTTCAAATGTCAGGAGGTATTCTTAGATGTCAACCAAAAAAAAAAAAACAATAATATTTATATTAAACAAACTATTTAAACAAAAAAAATAACATTGCATTGCAAAGTTTTATATTATTTTAGCAACTACTAGAAATTATACTGTGAATTTCCCTGACCACAAAGTCTTACAGAATAAAAAAACGCGATGTGTTGTTGTGTTGCTGATGTGCTTTAGATTTTTTATTTTAATTGTCAATGCTCGGCTTGAAAAGTGCCATGAAAAATAATGCTCACCCTGAATTTTAAGTTTGACAAATCATGTACTTGTGAGCCGTTGCAAAGCCAGGACTATTACACAGAGAAAATTAGGTGACAAAAAGTTAAATGGCACTAATAAGACTGCCAGAGATACTCTTAAGATACCAAACCAAGTCATTAATATGACAAACTAATTAAAAATACAAAGCAAGCTCTCAATTTTTTTCAAGTGATAAAATCTGTGATAGGCATGACATTAAGCGGTGTACTCATGGTGTCCGCGATGCTCAGGCTATTAGGAGGTTTGACAAACTCTATACGACTCTTTCACGCTTCAATTATCTCATCAAGCAGTGGGAACGCTGCACAGCAGATAGCTACATGATACTGTATGTTCTCTTGAATAATCAAATGCAAAAATATGCTCTTACACACACACACACACACACACACACACACACACACACACACACACACACACACTTTTACACATACTTTTACACAGACATCAAAGATTTGGAAAACCTGTAAACTCATCAGTTTTGGAGGTTATTTGCTCTCTCATGTGTGTGTGCATCTTAATAGCAATGTGTGTAAAGTCCATTAATCCCTATTAACCCTTCTGTTCTGGTATCAACCTCTTTGAGACTATCATCCATACCCCTCTGAGGAGGTCAGAGAGGATAATAGGGGAATGTCACTGATAGTGGCTGTGCAGCCATGTGTGTGTATGTGAGTGAGCATAAAAACACAAGTGTGTGTAGAAGCGTGCCTTCCTTTTTTTCTGCACTATCGCCTGCTTTGTGTTCGCGGATGTGCAAACAGCATCAGTGTACATATTCACTGCTGCATGCATGTGAGTGTGTGTTGATTAGAAAGCAGGTTATATGGATTACAGGATTATCAGAGCCTGTGTAAATGCTCTGTGCGTGTTTATTCAGCTCTGTTTGTGGGAGGGATTTGGAGGAGGCACACTGCCATTGATCCAAGTATCCAAGGTGAGCAATGAACTGAACCCTGTCTCTTCACGCTTCGGTGACTCAGGTTTGCAGTCGTACACGTGCACGTGGTGTGGACTATGGTGAGAGAGACCAAAACGGGAGCAGGAATCATATCTGTTCAGCAATAAAAAGATTACCAAAGTATTGAACGTTCATCAAATGTACTTGGTACAATCTTGGACTTTCTTATATGAATTCAGTTGGAAGCATTAAGATTAGTCTCTGGTTTGACAAAACTCTTTTGAAAAGTTAAAACAATTCAAACTGCAGAATGAAACAGCCGGACAGCTGACTTAATCAAAAGCCAGGTATTCAAACATGTAGGCATGTAAATAAATGAACTTTTTTTTAAATAATAAAAAAAAAATGTTGGTTTAATGATTTATATTTAATGATTTAGGAAATTACATTTAAGAACACCCATTCAAGAGACACACGTGAAAAAAAAACATGGGGGAACAGGTGAACAGGTCATGCGGCAACCAGCAGGGTTCGTGCTACCTTTAAAAAGAAAAACAAAATACCACAGAAGGTTAGATGAGGAAAAAAACATCATATTATATGAATGAAATATGATACACAATGTTGTTAATAAAAACTCTCTATGAAGCAAGAGCACATTTATTAGCCAGAGGAGTAAGTGAGTTTAGAGGGAATGGGTCAAAAGAACCCAGCCTCCCAAAAGAAAAACTCATTGTTCAGCCAAAGTTCAGAATATTGGTGTTAAATTGTTTATTCTGTGCCTCTCCAGATTGACCTTCAGGGGATCAGATTAGACGGAGTGAGAGGGTGAGAGGGAGGAGAGGTGTGTGTGTGTGTGTGTGTGGGGGGGGGGGTAATCTGTAATCAGTTGTTTGGGAACAGAGAAAATGTTTTGGGTCAGGCAGACAATAACAATTTTCCATCTGCCTTAATGTCTGCCGGTACGTCTCAATGTGGCAACTCCAATCAGAACTCCAATCAGACAGTGTGGACAATTCCGCCGAGCCGAGCTCTCAGCTTCTCCAAGATCAGTTCCATCTCGCCAGCAAAGTCCAGGAACCACAGCCGGCCCGTGACCCTCAGC